GGGGCGGGGGTCCGGGAGTCTCCTGTCCTCCTTCCCTCCTTCCTCTCTTCCCTCCTCTTTTCCTTCCTGCATTCCTTCCTGGGCTTCCTTTCTTCCGTCTCACCTGCCGGTCTTTCTTGTCCTCTCTTGTCCTTCCCTCCTTTCCTGCATTCCCTCCTCCTTCCCTTTCCTCCCCTTCTCCCGTCCTCCCTTCCCTCCTTTCTGTCCATCCCTCCTTTCTGTCCTTCCCGTCCCCCCCCCTCCTGTCCCCTCTCCCTCCTGTTCTTCCTCTCGTCCTTTCTCCTTCAGCCCTTCCTCACGCTCCTCCACGAGCACCTCGTTTGTGCTAGGAGGGAGGTGGTGACTCCGGGGTCCCACGTCGCCCATGGGCTGGGTCCTCCCCCCCCCCGACCCCCCCCACACCCTGACCCTGCTGGGGAGCACCTGAGCCCAAAGTCACCCCCGGCCCTCTCCCTGCAGTTTCTGTCCCTCCGGCATGAAGATCCTGGTGGTGATGCTCCTGGCTCTGGTAGCTGCAGGTAGGAGAGGCCCTGGGGACCCCACGATGTGCCCCATGTACAGCTTTGGTGTCCCCTATCTGCCCCAGGGTCCCAGGTCCACCCTGGGTGTCCCCTATCTGCCCCAGAGTCCTACGTCCACCCCAGGGACCCTATGTCTGCTCTGGGAGCCCCTTGTTTACGCTGGGTGTCCTCATCTGCCCCAGAGTCCCATGTCCACCCAAGGGGCCCCACATCTTCTCTGGGTGTCCTCATCTGCTCCAAGGCCACACGTCCACCCTAGCTCCCTAAAGTCTGCCTTGGGTGACCCACATCTGCCTTGGGGTCCCACGTCCACCCCAGGGTGGCCCACATCTGCCCAGGTTCCTACGTCCACCCAAGGGGCCCAGCATCTACCTCAGGGTCCCACATCTATTCCATGGACTCCCTGTCTGCACCTTCTGACCCGGGTGCTCTATGTCCACCCTGGGGGCCCCACATCCACCCCAGGGACCTCACATCTGCTCTGGGTGCCCCATGTTCACCCTAGGTGTCCCCCAGAGAGGGTCCCAGGCCACCTGTGTCCATGTTCCTGGAGTGTGGGACACCAGAGAAGGTTCCAGGCCACCTGTGTGACCTGTCCCACATCTCCTTGTTCCCGCAGCCTCAAGGAACGTCCTGTGGGTGCTCGAGGGGACCTCCTGTGACCTGCCCTGGCAGGCCGCCCTCTTCAAAGGGGACAAATTCATCTGCGGGGGCACGCTGGTGGCCAGGAACTGGGTGCTGACGGCCGCCCACTGCCACGTCCCAGGGTAGGAGGCCGCAGGGTGGGGTGGCCCTAGGTGCGGGGCTGGGCATGGGTGCATGAGGCGGTTGTTTGTGCTGGTGCCTGGCGGCGTTGGTGTCAAAGGGCCAAAGCCACCTAGGAATTGGCTCCGGTCATGCCTGGGGCCTTGGCCTTCTGCCAAGGAGGCTGGAAGGGTTGGCGGTTTCGCAGCAGGTTTAAATCTGCCCCTTTTCGGGCTGCGTGTAACCTTAACTCTGCCCTTTCCTCCCGTCTGTATGCATAACCTTAACTCTGCCCCTTTTCTGGCTATGTGTAACCTTAATTCTGCCCTTCTTATGTCTATACATAACCTTAACTCTGCCCTTTTCTGCTTTTGCTTCTTCTACCTTCCTGGCCTGTAGCGCTGGCTCTGTCCCCTCTTTGTGTGGGCCCCTGGGGCACCCCACGTCCCACCCCTAGGCCAGACCTCCCTTCTTCCCACCCCTATGCTGATGCCTCTGGCTCCAGCTTCATCAGCGTGCGGCTGGGGGACCGGGGGCCCAAAGAGCCGGATGACTCGGAGCAGCGCCGGCTCTCCTCCAAGGTCATCAGCCACCCGCGCTACAACCCCGCCACGAATACCCCCCCGCCACGAAGGACAGCGACCTCATGCTCATCAAGCTCCTCTCGCCCGTCCACATCAACGAGTGGGTCAAGCCTCTGCCCTTGGCCACCCGCTGTCCCGTGCCTGGCAAGACCTGCCAGATCTCGGGCTGGGGGTCCACCACCAGCCCTGAAGGTACGAGGCCGTTCACGTGGCACCCAGGCGACCGGGATCCCTGCTTTAACCCCAAGATGTCCTTGCCCTCCCCAAGGACCCAGGCATCTGGGCCTTCCCTGTCCAGCTCGCTTAGGGGATCCAATATTCAGACTCTCTCATCTCCAACCCCTAACTCCACCACCTTCCCCAGGGACCCAGGCATCCGGGTCACCCAGGTAGGGCACTGGGCAGTGTCTCCTGCTCGGTGGCAGCGAGACAAAAACGAAGGGATGAGCCCGGACGCCTGGGTCCGTCTCCCCACCCCGGGTGACCTCCTGGCCTCCTTCACCCACAGTGAACTTCCCTGAGGACCTGCGCTGTGCCAAGGTGACAGTCGTGGCGGAGGAGCAATGCCAGCGGACCTACCCCGGCTCCATCACCGCCAACATGGTGTGCGCTGGTGAGCAAACCAGCCGGGCCGACTCCTGCCAGGTGGGTCCCGCTGCCGATTCAGGGCCACCAGATTCAGATAAGCTTCTGGGAGGGAGAGTGCCGGGCTGAGGATGGGCGCAGCTCAGCGCAGCTGGCAGCTGGGGTGGTGGATGGCAAAGCCGGTGGGGTTTCATGGCCTCATTAAGCCAGCTGGTGATGTCCCCAGGGGTTCTGAAATGGCTCTAGAGTGTGGGGTGGGGGTGGATGGTTCTTTGCTGCACCCTCACATTACCCACACACTGGTTTTGTGGAATTTCATGAGTTTTGTCCCAAAAAGCACCTCTGCTCTGGCTCCAGATGCTTCAACACCGCCCAGGTCCTCTTCCAGGATTGCAGCATTGAGATGCCTCCATGGGGCCAAGATTGCCAGCCCTACAGGGTCCCCTGTGCCTTAGGGATGAGGTTGTCACTGGCAGGGGGGGAGGGACGACACGGGACCATGGGGCTGAGACAGGGGTTGAGCACAATACTAGGACCTCCACGTGCCGCCCTTCTCACCTTCACAGGGCGACTCCGGGGGCCCCCTCATGTGCGACGGGCAGCTCCAGGGCATCGTCTCCTGGGGGCCGGGAATCTGCGGGGACCCCCAGAAACCTGGCGTCTACGTCAACATCTGCAAATACACCCGCTGGATCCAGGACACCATGAGAAGGAACTGACCTCCCCAGCCCACCCGCAACCCTGCTGGTGCTGCCCAAGTCCCCACTGTGCCTTCTCCTCCTCCTCCTCAGCGAAGCTCCCTGGAGCCGGCCGGTCCGAGCGCCGCAGCACGCATCCGGGGAAGGAGGGGATGATGGTGGGTCGTGGGGGCCCCGTTGAGATGCCAATGAATAAAGCTTTCTGCCGTGGGGGCCGTGGCCTGTATCTTTGGTGAGTGCGAGGGCATCTCGGGCAGGTTGAGGTGCTCCAAATGGCCCCGGAGTTCAAAAAGAGGGAGAGGATCCAGCTTGCTGCCATTGAAGGGTAGCTCAGTTGGGTGCCATTGAGTGGAAGACCAGTAGGCCACCACTGAAGGGTACCTACCCTGTTAGCCGCCTTTAAAGGGTAGATCAGTTGACCATCGCTGAGGGGTGGACCAGTTGGCTCTTCCAAGGAAAGCGGTTTGACTGGTATGGTTTTATGGGGTTTTTTTATGGTTTATGGTTTCTTTTCACCATAAACAGTGGCCGCAGGGGGTTGATCCAGCTCGATGTCCCCCCACCAAGAGTGACGAGCCCTCACAATGTCCTGGAGCCTGACCCTCCCTATGGTCCATCCCATTCTGGTCTGACTCCCCGGGCCAAAGCCGCTTTGGGGCCACCAAAGGCCAGCTTCCCCTGGCCCAGCGCGTGACCCAGGAGGAATTCCCAGCCCTGGAGGGGATAAATTTCCCCATGACTCAGTAGGTGCAAAAGGGGCCAAATTTCCCGACCTGGGGTAAGCCAACGGGTTTTGCCTCCTCAACGGGCAGACGTTCGCAGCCGGGCAGAGCGTGTGAGCCAAAGGCAAGCTGGCTCTGAAGCGGGAAGTAATCGCCCGCCGGTGGATCGGTTACTGCCCTGGGCCAAATTTACCCATTTGCATGGAGCCGAGACCTCTATTTTGCAGGAAAAAGGGGACTTTTTTCCCCCCCCTCCATGGCGGGCAACATGGCCCCATCTTGGTGACGGATATCAGTGCCAACCCAGCTTTGCCTCCGTGGGGCCAAAATATATTGGGATTTTTGGTGGGCTGGAAAAATGCCTCGATGCCTTCCCCAGTGAGGGAAGACACCCAGAGATGCCACCGTGGCTCATGTTGTCCCCCGTGGCTCAGAGGGGTGGGGAGCAACGCTGGCTGCCTTGTACAAGGTGCCACCCCTCCCTCTTCCCCAAGCTGCCCTGCAGTCAGATGCGGCCAGAGCCTGGCGTGCCAGAAGGCGTGGACCCATAATTAGCCTGATGCGTTCATCCTGTGTCTGCCACAGCGGGGATAGAGGCTTTGGTCTGAGTCCAAATCCCCAGGGAGGTGGAGGAGCCGTTGTCCTCACCCGTCATTGCTGGGATCAGTGGATGCCACCAGAGATTTCCAGCTGTCGCTCAGGCTTTTTTGGGGTGGTCTTCAGCTGCCTTACAGCATCCCACGATGGTGGCTCCTGCCTGGAGAGGTTTGGTGCAGAGGGGTCCCCTGTTGGTGGCTATCAGTCATGGTAGGTTGCCATGCTGGTCTTCAGCATAGGTGACTCTGACTTCTCCATCATCCACAGAGATTGGGTCAACGTGTCTGTTGGGGTCCATTCAACGTGTTCATGCAGGCTCACGGAGGTTGTGAGTCAGTATGTCCCTGGAGGTCTACTCAACAGGTCTACGGTAGTCTATTCCATGTGTGCATGGCAGTCTAGTCTAAGTGTCCATTGGGATCTATGCAACATGTCTGGAGGTATGGTCAGGGCATGCATGGAGGGCTCCTCAACAGATCCGTGGAGGTATGGCCCATGCATTTCTAGAGAGCTACTCACCATGTCCATGGAGGCATGGTCAGGTCACCCACAGAGGACTACTCAACATGTCCATGGAGATATAGTCGATGTGTCTGCAGTGGTCTAGTCAGTGTCTCCATGGAGGTCTAGTCAAAGTGTCTACTGGGATCTGTGCAGCATATCCATGAAGATATAGTCAAAGCAGCCACTGGTGTCTACTCAACATGTCCATGGAGGTCTGGTCAATACGTCTTCTGAGGTCTACTCCCCCTGCCCATGGAGGGCTAGTCAGTGCGTCCGTTGGAGTCAATGCAACGCTACCACGGCAGTCTGATCAACACAGCCCATGAGATCAGGTCAAGGTGTCCACGGAGGTCTGGCCAGCACATCCATGGAGGCCACAAAGGCAAGCCGAGCCACCAGCAGTGAGGGAGGTGTCCCTGTGGCCACCCCGGCGACCGGGGAACGACGACTGTTGCCCGCTGCCTTTATCAAACCCGGCGCGCTGCGGTGGCGGGGACAGCCCCGGGGCTCGCATGGCCCAGCCACCCATGAGTCACTCGAAGGGGGAGGATCAAAGGGAGGGTGCCCACGCCGGGGCCCCGTTAAAAGCCGAGGCGCAGGAGCGGAGCTGACGGAGCACGGCCCAGGGCGCGCAAGGGCGCATCGGCGCGCGGGCACACATGCGCGCACGGGTGGCTCCAGGTCCACGTGGGCACGAAGGGCAGCGTGCAAAAGGGCAGGTTGGTGTGAGCCTGAAGGTAAGTGTGCAGGTGCGTGCAAGAGGCATGTGCACGAGGCACGAGAGGCGTGTGAGAGGTGCATGGGACATGCACTGGGGCGTGCAAGGGGGCGCTGTCTCATGCCTCTTTCCACACCCTTAACTCTGCCCAGCCCCAGACAATCCCCTTAACTCTGCCCAGACCATAAAATCCCCTTAACTCTGCCCAGTCCCACACAGTCCCCTTAACTCTGCCCAGTCCCAAACATCCTCTTAACTCTGCCTACTCCCCCCCAGGCCCCTTAACTCTGCTCCTCCAGGGCACCTCAAGCACTGGAGGGGCCCAGTGGCAGAGTGGGCTGAGGCCACAAAGGGAGTGACATGGCCTCCCAGGGACGAGGGCTCTGCAGACCCATGATGGCAGCGCTGGGGAAATGCTTCTGGTGGCATGTGGAGCTGGAGGAGCAGATGAAGCTCCAGGCCTAGCGGTTCCCCTCTACCCGCTCTACGACCCACCTTCCTGGGCCCATGACATCATGCTGGTGAAGCCGATGACATCAGCAGTGCTAGGTGCCCACATGGGGGTCCTGGCCCTGCCCTACGCCTGATGTGATTTGTGGGACTGGGCAGAGTTAAGGGGATGTCGAGGAATCTCTAGAGGGATGTAGCAAAGGATGGAGGGATGGAGGAATGAATGGGTGGGGACGAGGGATGGGAGAATGGAGGGAGGGGTGGATAGTGTGTTGGATGAAGGGATGGACAGAGGGACAGATGGGTGGAGGAACAGATGGATGGAAGGGTGGATGGAGGAAGGGGTGGGGGATGGACAGAGGGAGGGATAGATGGAGGGTGGATGGACTGACAGAGGGATGGAGGGAGGGACGGACAGATGGATGGGTGGATGGAAGGACATGGGTGGAGGGACAGATGGAGGGATGGACAGACGGATGGATGGAGGGATAGACGGGTGAATGGAAGGAGGGATGGACTGGCAGAGGGATGGAGGGAGGAAGGGGGTGGATGGAGGGAGGGACAGATGAATGGAGGGGTGGATGGCCAGATGGACGGATGGAGGGAGGGATGGAGGGAGGGACAGGCAGAGGCTGCACATCCGTGGGGTCCCTGACCTCTGCTGGGTGAGAGGACGGCCACATGGACCTGGGGTGGCGAGGGACAGTGCGGGGGGTGTCACCTGGGCACTGCCACCCCTGTGTCCCTGGGTCACTGCTGTCACCCAATCACCGCCATTTCTGTGCCAGCCATGTCCCTGGGCCACCCAGCATGGTTACTCCTTTCTCACCTATGTCACCTGGGCCATCTAGGGTCACTGAGACACTGCCAGGCCCGTGACACCCATGGACACCCAGTGCCACCCAGGCACAGCCAGGCCTATGCCACCCACTGTCACCTGGGTGCCGCAACTCCTATGTCACCTATGGCTCACCCAGTGTCACCTAAGTGTTCCCATCCCTGTGTCACCCATGACTCCTGGGCCGCCCTGTGTCACCCAGGTGCCACCACTCCTGTGCCACCCATGGCTCCTGGGCCACCCAGGCGTTCCCATCCCTGTGTCACCCATGCCCCCTCAGCCACCCTGTGTCACCCAGGTGCTGTCACCCCCCCCCCGTCACCCAGGGCATAGCCACCCACATTGCTGTCACCCAGGGCCACCCCTCCAGCATCACCTGGGAGGGGGGATGGTTGCCACCCCCAGACACACCAGCATGGACAGGGAGGGGACAGGAGACAGGGTCCACATCCCCTCCCCACCACTAAGGGTGGGCACAGAGGGTCACGGGGTCCCCAAGCAGCTCTGGCAGTGGGTGACAGGTTGGGGCTTGCCCTGCTCCGGGGCCTGGAGGGGTAATTAGCACTAATTAGCCTGACACAGCCAGCCAGCCAGCAGAGGAACTGGGAGAACTGGTCAGGCCCAGCCCCAGCCCCCGGCTCCCAGCTGCTGTGCGCCTTCGCGGGGAAGGGGGACGTGGCGCATGCCCTCATGTGCCCCCGTGTCCCTTCACATGCCCCCATGACCCCTCATGTGCCCCTATGTCCCCTCATGTGCCCCGTGTCCCCTCATGACCCTTCGCATGTCCCCTCGCATGCCCTTGTGTCCTCTCGTGTGCCCTCACATGCCCCCATGTCTTCTTGCGTGCTCCCATGTCCCTTCTCATGCCCTGTCCCTTCATGTGCCCCCATGTTCCCTCACATGCCCCAATGGCCCCTCATGTGCCCCTGTGTCCCCTCACGTGCCTCCTGGCATGTCCATGTCCCCTTGAGTGCCCTATGTCCCCTTGTGAGCTGCCATCTCCACTCTTGTCCCCCTCACATGCCCCTGTGGTCCCTCGTGAGCTCCCCTGTCCCCTCACGTGTCCCTCATGCACCCCTGTGTCCCCTTGAGTGCCCCATGTCCCCTCGTGTCTCCTCGTGTGCCCCATGTCCTCCGTGACCCCTTGTGACCCCTGTCCTCTCATGTCCCCCATGTCTCCTCATGTGGCCCTGTGTCCCCCCATGTGCTCCCGTGTCTCCACGTCCCTTTGTGAGCTCCCCTGTTCCCCTGTATGTCCCCATGTCCCCATTGTGTCCCCTTCTTTGCCCCACATCTCCTTGTGTCCCCTCCAAGTGCCCCTGTGTCCCCTAAGGTGCTCCCATCTTCCTCATGAGCTCTCCTGTCCCCCTGTGCCACCATCTTTCCTCTCCTGTGTCACCCTCATGTCCCCATATGGTCCCATGTCTCCTTCATGCCCTCTCATGTCCCCCCGTGTGCCCCAATGTTCCCTTGTGTGCGCCCATGCCCCCCCCGTATCCCCTTGTGTGCCCCCGTGTCCCTTCATGCGTCCCATGTTCCCCTGTGAGCTCCCATGTTCCCTCGTGTCCCTTCATGTGCTCCTAGGTCCCCTTTCGAGCTTCTCTGTCCCATCACGTCCCCCTGTGAGCTCCCTTCTCCCCTTGCGTGCCCCTTGTCCCCACACAGGTTCTCTGGTCCCCTTATGAGTCCCCATGTCACCTCGCGAGCCCCCTCTGTCCCCCTGTATCCCTTCTCAAGCTCCCTTGTCCCCAGATGCAGCCCTTCCCTGCCTTTCCACCCTGATGCCCTTCTCCTTCCCCCCTTGCTCTGCAGACAACATCTACCAGGATCCCTGTGGATGGGATCTCTGTGGACCAGAGCCCATGGTCCAGGCTCCCTGAGAACAGGATCACCGTGGCTGGCATCCCCATTGGTGGGACCTGCATGGCCCAGGATTGCTGTGTCCTAGCCCTTCGTGGATGGGATCTCCATGGATGGGATCCTGCTGGATGAGATCTCTGTGGACCAGGCCTCCATGGAATGGGATCCTAATAGACAGCATCTCAGTGGATGCGATCTTTGCAGACCAGATCTCCATGGGTGAGCTCTCCATGAGATGGGGTCCTGATGGATGAGCTCTCCATGGGCCAGGCCTCCACAGACGGGCTCCGTGTGGCTGTAACCTCTTTGGCAAGGATCACCGTGGACCAGCTCTCCACAAACCCGCTGGGAGAGGTGCCACAAGGCACAGGGCCCTCCAGAAGCCCCAGCTTTGCCTCCTGGTTTGGGACCAAACCCAGCCTGAGGCTCCCTCCGCCACCAACAGAGAGCAAGATCAGCATCTCCGGAAAGTGATTCATCCCGCCTAGCCTTGCCTTTAGTCAGGGCTCCCTCCTGGGCCTCTCTGCCCTTAATTGCTCGTTGGGGTGTTAATTGCCTTGAGCTGCCACGTCTCCTCTCCTGACCCTGCCAAAGGGGCCATTTCAGAGGCTGTGAGGCGCCTTCATGCTGCCCCCAGGGCTCCTGCACCCATGTTGTGGCTCAGGTCCCACCAACGCTGAGGAAGTATGAGAAGACCCCCTCAATCCCAAAAATCCAATTTTGGGGAGGAGAAAGTGGCCGTTTCCCGTCCTGGGAGCCCGTGTTCACCGGGAAATCCCTGTCATGGGAAGTGCCAGAGGCTCAAATGCAGCTTTCCCAGCCCCATCTCAGGGGAGAAAATGTCCCGGCATGCTCCCAGAACCAGGTTGCCTGGGATGGAGCGCCTCCAGCAGGACATCTGGGTCCCCAAGGCCAGCCAGACCGGTGGCCGTCTCCTGGAGCAGAGACGTGGATCGGCCAGCACCTGCGAGAGTGGCGGACAGCAAGGAAATGGGAGGTGAAGCACCTCCATGTCCGGAACCATTTTCCAGCTGTCAGAAAAAAAGGGGAATGAGGTTGGGTAGGGGGGAACTGGTTCCCAGGATAGGTCCTCCCCTCCATCTTCCTAATGTCCCCTTGACTCACCGGAGCCGACTTGCAGGGCTCAGCTGGGTTGGCAACAGGATGTGGCCTCACCCATCATTCGCCCACTTCCTCAGTGTTACTCATCCAGGGAGCTGTTGCCACCCTGGCTGCTGAGTGAAGGCAGCGTGTAGGTCCCTTGGGCCGTCCGGTTTGGTGCTGTCCTCCGGAGCATCCCTACGGACAAGGCTCCGGCACAATGTCATGGGGATCCTTCCTTGGAGAAGGACACGAGTGGGAGATCCCCATCCCACGTCCAGCACTTTGGCCCCTGTAGAAATGGCTGGGGTGTCCCAGGATGTGACAAATCAGATGTGCTCCGGCAGTGAGCAAACGCACACGCGTCCGTGCACATCCGCATCCCCTCGCCCTGTGCACGTGCAAAAACCCCCATCACCACACGCGCGTGTGCAAAACGCCCGTCCTTGCACACGTGCACGTGCCAAACGCCCGTTCTTGCACGTGAGCGCATGCAAAAAACGCTGTCCCTGCACACACGCGTGCATGCACACACGTGCACGGGTGGGCAGTTTTGAGACTACCTGACTTATGTTGCGCTCGTGAGGGTCGCCGGTAGACGGATGGACAGGGAGTTGGATGGACAGCTGGACACATGGGTGGATGGATGGATAGAGGGATAGACGGAAGGACAGATGGATGGATGGATGGATGGGTAGGTAGGTAGGTAGATAGGTAGGTAGGTAGGTAGGTAGGTAGGTAGGTAGATTAGATAGATAGATAGATAGATAGATAGATAGATAGATAGGAAGGAAGGACAGACAGGCAGCTAGCTAGCTGGCTCGCTGGACAGACAGACTGACACAAATAGCTATACAGATGGAGGGACAGATGGCAAGGGAGACTGATGGATGAGCAGAGGGACAAACAGAGACAGACGGATAGACAGAGATGTGAACAGATAGAAGAACAGAGAGATGTGAACAGATGGACTGGCAGGTTGCAGACAGATGGACGGATGAACAGAAGGGTAGATGAATGGACAGACTGAGAGACGGATGTGCAGGTGGGCAGATAGCAGACCAGCTAGCCAGAGACGGAGTGACAGACAGAGAGACCGCTAGCTGGACAGGCTTACGGTCATATGGACAAACAGACAGATGGCCAGACAGGCGGATGGATGGACAGACAGCTAGACAGACTTACAATCAGATGAATAGACAGGTAGACAGGTGGATGGACAGCTGGATGGACAGACAGATAGATGGTTGGACAGCCAGATGGCCGAACAGACTTAGAGTCGGATGGACAGATGGATGAGCAGGCAGATAAATGGATGGACAGATGGACTGGCAAACAGATAGAAGGCTGGACAATAGGATGGACAGACAGGTAGATGGCTGGATGGACAGACATCTTGGTAGACTTACAGTCGGATGGACAGACAGATGGATGGGCAGCTGGCCAGGCAGACAGACAGATGGACAGACAGACGACTAGAGAGACTTACGGTCGGACGGGCAGATGGAGCCAGCTAATGCGGCGCTGCACCCGGCTGACATTTAACGACGCCCCCGGGGACGGGTCCTCATCCAGCCCGTCCGCACCCGGCAGTTGGTCCATCCCTCCTCATCCCCCGGACTGGCGGGGAAAGCTGATTCACCCAACCGTGTCGCGTGCGGGCTGTTTTTGGGCCCGATTTCTCACCCCCGTGTCCACGGCGGCTTTCGCAATGGGAGGAGTGGGGCGTTCCTCTCCCAGTGCCCGGAGAGCCGGCGACGTTTCCTTTGGGACTTCAAAGAGATAATCATCCTCGGGGCCCGGGAGACACCCACGGCCACGCTTGCCCCGGTGCCATGCCGACCCGTCGCCCAAGTGCTCTTGACTCACTCCGGAGAGACACGGCCTACTTTTCGTCCCGGTATAAATATGCCGGGGCCACGGGCTCTCGGCTTCCCGACGTGCACGCGGAGCCAGCCCTGGCGCTCTTCGCTGGCGCATCCTCCAGCAGGTGAGTGCACCCTCAGGTTTGGGGACCGGGGTGCCACCAGCTCTCCAGTATCTGGGTCTCCAAGGGTGGATGTGGCCACCATGAAACCCAGGTATCTGAGATCTCCCTGTCTCTCTGCAAGAGAGATCCATCCATCTCCATCCCCCCATGGGTCAAATCCATCCATCCCCATGCTTATAGCTTTGGGGGAGACCTTCCATCTCCTGGTCAGGCTCAGGTGTCCCAGCTGGAGCTCCTAGTTTAGCTGGAATTGGGAGGAGAGCAGTCCTTCCACGTTGTCCTCACACAAGTGGGTTTGGTCCCCTGGAGAGCTGCATTCAGCCAAGATGGGACGGAGAGAAGAGGTGGCTGATGCCACCCCGAGGTCTTCAAGAATGAAGCCACCACAAAACACCAAGGGTATCTTGGTCCCTTTGGCTGCCATCCCCCAAGGGATACCACAGGACAGGGGCAGGGGACTGTCCCCCCACCCACTGCTGGCCTCTCTCCTGAGGCCCTCCCAGGGCTAATCCTGTTTGGTTTCTCCACCCCAGGAATGGCTCATGAGAGACACAGGGCCTTTGGCTTCATCCCCGTCTTCATCCTCGTGGTGGGACTGCTCCTCGCCGTCCCACTGCCGGCACGAGCTTGGGAGGCGGGCAAGGAAGGTGACGAGCGTAAGTGGCGGTGGCCAGGGAAGGGGGATGGGGACGTCACAGCTATTTTGTAGGGTTGTGTCCGGGGGGAGAGGAGGGGCAGACATGTCGCCTTGGCTCGCGGGAATCTTGCTGATGGAAGGTTTGGGCAAGGCCTCGCGATTTTTGAAACCTGTTTTCGTTTGGAGCTGAGATAAAACAGCCCCCCCCCGGATATGGCCTCACACCGGAGAAATGTCCCTGCAGAAGACGCAGAGGGAAGAATTCCTGCAAGCAGTTGGAGGATATTGAGATCGCTGGGACGATCTCCTCTGCAAGACCGTAAAGAGATTTCTTTTACAAGTGCAAAAAGGCCGAGAGAAAAACATCCCCACGGGGTGAAGGGAAGAAAAGAGAAACTTAAATCACGACAGGAACATCTCCTTCCTCTCTGCTAGCCTCCAAAACAATGCTCTTCCAAAGGGCACCAGCATGGCCCCCGGATGTGTCTCGGGTTGGAGAGGAAAGAGGAGGCTGTGATTTCCCACGGTGGGCTGCAAAGGCCTCAGATCTGACCTGATCGCAGTATCTCCTCATCCAAATCTGTGTTGCCAGAGCGGAATCGAAATACCTGGATCCTACAGAAAACAAACACGGTCATGTCCAGATACAGTGGCTGGATAATTTGGCCTGTGGCTTTCCAAGAACTGTGGTTTTGGGGGAAGATTTGTTATGGCTTGTTTTGGGGTGGAAGCGTCGTCTTCTAGGCTGGAGCTCTCTGGCTGCCTGTAGCCTCTGGAAATCCAGGATATGGATCCTACCTTAGGACTCTGCCATGTTGTATTGCCTACATCTCCACCGGCTGGCCTTTCTGAACAGAGACCTTCCCCCATGAGATCCCCGGGAAGCCACTGAGATGCCTACAAGGAGCCTGGTGGAGTCTAAACCTGATGGCTGGACTCCAAAGGCCCAAGGACAGCCCTTTAGATGACGAGGAATGCTTTCCTGATGAGCATTTGTGCTGGGACAGTTCCCACCCTCCAACTTTGGCAACGCTGCTGGGACCGGATAGCAGTGAATTCCAGGTGGCCTGAAACTTGGGCGTCTCCCATTGCCACCTATCACAGGCTGTAATCCCCACCAGCACAAACCAGTCTCACAGGTAAATGCCAATGTCCCAACATTCGGTGGAAAGCTACTGCAGATACCACACACCGTGCACGTGCTCAGATTCACCACAGCAGCCAGCGCTTGGAGGTGGTAGCTGCAACCTCTGCCCAAGATAGCCAAGATGGTTGGGATGCCCTAGAATGCAGCATGGAGGACTCAGCCCCAACACCCACGAGGGCACCTTGAAGAACAGGGACTTGGTATCTCCAGTTCAGCAGAGGCAAAAGTCCAACTACTACATGTTTTTGGGGGGTGGGAGGGGGCTTTTTTTCCTTAAAAAAAAAAAATCTGAAGTAATTATCCTCCGTTTTTTTTGCAAATGTTGTCTCCTCCCACTTGGACATGGCTCAGCATCAGGGGTCCACTCCAGTTTCCTTGGCCGAGGTGCTGTTTGAGACCCCCAAAGGACCTGAAATGTTCTTGCCTGCATAGAGCTGTAGGTGGAGGCTGGGAGTGACACAGGGAGCACCTTGAAAGGTGTTGAGCTCCATTTTGTGGATACCTGAGTGGAGCCTTGAGCGGGCATGACCTCAAGATAGTCCCACCAGAAACCTCTTTAACCATAAATGTCCAGACACGGGGAGGGACATTTTATCTGGTAGATGTCCAGCTCTGGATGGAATGGGATTGCCTCTTGGAAAGGTCCCTTCACTCCCTCTGAGGACCATCAAGACATTCAAGGCTGGCCAAATCCAACGGACACCTGCCTACGGCAGCTAGAAAAAGCGAGGGGACATGCGTCCAGAGACCCAAAAGGTTGGAAGACCCATGCCAGAAGTGGGGGCTCCACAGAGACCCCTTTTCTGCCCTCTGACCAAGACAAAGACCCCCAAAACCAAGCCAGCGGACATCTCTTTCTTCCTGACCAACTTGACGGGACTGAGATGTCTCTGCTCCAGAGAGATGTAAGGACTTATGTTCCTGAGCGAGGTCTTCTTATCATTTCTCCCTACATCAGGGCTTCTCTTAATTGTGTTGATGCAACCATCTCCCACCCTGGCCCTAACTACTAGGCCGGAGCACATAATGTGAGCCATCCAGAAGGTAGGAGTCCTTCCAAGCTGGTCGTACAGGCTTTCTGACCAACCAAGGAAGAAGAAATCAGCTCTTTTAGGGGTGCGTCACCTCTGTCTCAGAGTCCAATCTTGGGCTGGGAGGAATCCTAGAAGTGGAACAGATGCCCCTCCCAGAGACACATGGTGAAACCAGCAGAGATAAGTGGCCCTGGTGACTTCCTGACGCACCATGATTTCCAAGACAGCTCATTAGCGCAGCCTGGCATGACAGACCGGCCCTGGCGGGATCCTCTCACAGGAGCTCCCACCTCAGCTCTCTGCTTGGAAGGGGTGGTGGGGGCATGGAGCTGTGGCTCCCCACCACCACCACCAAGTGGCACCAGGAGAAAACATACCTGTAGGAGCTGGTCCAATTTTGGCTACAAATGGTTGGATTTCAATTGCTGGTTCCTGGTCCCCAAAATGTCTCTTTCTCCTCCCAGAAAGAAGGCCAGTGAGACCCCAATAGGCTGACTGGTAGCTCAATCAACCCATAAAAATAGATGCTTTTAACATGATTTTGACTGTTCTGATGGGATTTTAAAGACTGGAAAGGGAGCTTTTCCCTTTACATTTCACCAGGGATGTTTTACAGGCTCCATTTTGCAATGTTTTCTCTTCTTTTCAACCCAAAATAGCAGGTTGCTTTGAAAGAAGAATTGTCCCACAATGGCATGACCCCATGCTTCATGCAACCCTCCCACGGTGACGTTTGATGCTCTGTGTTACAGTGCCAGAGGAAGACGACTCCCGTATCATTGGCGGGAGGCCCTGCTCCATCACCCAGCGACCTTTCCAAGTTGCCATCACCAAGAGGGGCCAAATCCTGTGTGGAGGAAGCTTGATAGGCTCCCAGTGGGTCCTGACGGCCGCTCACTGCAAGCAGCCAAGCAGGTAAGCTGGCGTCACGTTCACGTGCCCCATGGCTACAAGCCAGCATTATGTAGCACCCTGCAATGACCAAGGGAGCGAGAGGGTCCCAGGGATTGGTGCCTCCAGATGTTTGTGCCCAGAGGATGGTGCTTCCAAACGTCGGTACCCAGAGGTAGGTGCCCTGATGTTTGATGCCTCCAGATGTGGACACCTCCAGATTCTGGTATCTGGGCATTGGTAATCCCTAGTCTGCTACCTCCAAATATGGCTATGTCCAGATGCAGACATCTCCAGATGTTGGCATGCAGAGGCTGGTATCCCAGAGCATGCCCCCCCCCCCCCCCCCACGGCCAGATTTCTTAGGCTTCCCTTTCCAGCAAGGTTCTGCGAGAGCAAACAGGATATTTTGTAGGGGAAATGAGGAAGAAAAGCCAAAGGGAAAGTTGGCAGGAAGAAGTTGGACTTGCGGTAAAATTGCTAGGATGTCGCAAGTGGGAGTCCTGGAGTCAGGAAGAGGAAGGTGAAGCCAAGGAGTTGAAGTCAAGGCACCAACGGTTGCTCGTGGAGATGGGAGATGCCCCAGGGTATCTGAGTTAGCAAAGAGCTCTTGGAGGAGAGCTGACTCATGACTCCCCTGGCAGCTGCCTTTTTTCCTGGCCTCCTCCCTGGGGGAAATGGGATAAAGTGGTCCCAGGGCCACATCACCTTAACTCTGCCCACTGAACAGTTCCCCATGGAGAAGCTGCATTGGACAACCCTTGTTGATGCCTGTGGTGGAGAACCCTCGGTGCCAGGGGTTGTGTGTCTCCTCTGGAGGGACTGGTACTGATCTCTCGGCCTTCTTCCCCGGGGCAGCAACCTCAGGGTTTTAATTGGGACAGACACCCTACGGGACGGCACAGGCGAAGTGAGGACGATTTCACAGTTCATCGTCCACCCGGCCTACAACCCCCGCAAGAACGACAATGACTTCATGCTCCTGAGGCTGAACAAGCCCGTTCAGTTTAGCAACAACATCAAGAAGATCAGATTAGCCACGAGATGTCCCACGGACGGGATGAGGTGCAGCATCTCTGGCTGGGGTACAACCAAGTCCCCTGGAGGTACTAGCTCATAACGGACACCTCGGTGGAAGAGGTGGGGTAGGGGGAGGCAACTTGGCAGGGAAAAGGGGTTTCCAAGGAGGTCGCATTCTACCCCGGCCTTCTCAGCTGCAGAAACGGGATAAAAATATCACCTTAACTCTGCCCTGGGAGCAGTTCCCTGTGGAGAATGTCTTCTAGTTGGGTTTTCCTTTAGGGCTGGGGTTGGGTTTCCTTCCCATTGGACAACCCATCTCTGAAAGAGTCACCTACACTGTCCACTTCTGAGGGAATCTCCTCCAGAAGCATTATGAGGTCTGCTCAGCATTAGGCCTAGATGAGCGAGTCTCCCCCCCTCCCCTCTTCTCACCGTCTGTCCCCCTTCTCCTTGCCCTGCAGCAAAGCTGCCCAGAAATTTGCAATGTGCCGGCATCATTGTCTTCGGGAAGCAGAAGTGCACCAGAGCATACGGGGCCTCGACCATCACCCCCAACATGTTTTGCGCCGGTGTCCCACAAGGGGGCATCGATTCCTGCCAGGTAAGGAGGGTTGAGGCCCCTGCAGCCACCTCCCTCTCTGCTGCTGGGAGAAGGGGGGGGCGCTGGCATGGCTTTGAGCTTACACACAAGGCAAAGGCACGGCTCGTGGAGTGGCCCGCGCACGGTTTGGGTTCCTCATGGCCAAGCCATGGACCTGTAGGTAGGCCATGGCACGTGGATGGGCTCGTGCAAGGTTTGATGTCCTCCACCATTATCTCCAACCTAAGCCAAAAAAACCAGGGACGGGCCACGGCACATGGACTAGCCTGTGCAAGGCTTGGGTTCCCCACTGCTACCTCATGGCCAAGGCATGGAGCTGGAGACCGGCCATGGCATATGACCTGGCCCATGTAAGGCTCAGGTTCCCCACAACTACAGCATATTTGAGCCGCAGAGCTGGAGCAGGGCCACGGCAGGTGGACAGGCCCCTGCAAGGTTTGATGTCCTCCACATTATCTCCAACCAAAGCCATAAAAGCAGGGATGGGCCAAAAGCACATGAACTGGCCCATGCAAGGCTTCCAACTTCCTCCACCGTTATCTCCAGCTCAAGCCATAAAACCAGGGATAGCCCATGCCACATGGACCCCTCCAAGGTTTAGCTTCCCCACAACTCCAACATACTTGAGCCACAGAGCTGGAGCTGGGCCACGGCACGTGGATGGGCCCGTGCGAGGCTTCCAGCCTCCTCCACCGCTATCTCCAACCCAAGCTGTAAAACCTCTCCCCGCAGGGTGACTCTGGGGGCCCGCTGGTGTGCAACGGGATGCTGCAAGGCGTCGTCTCATGGGGCATGGCGGTGTGCGGGCGCAAGGGGCAGCCCGGCGTCTACTCCAATGTGTGCCGAGCCGTGCCCTGGATCAACAAATACGTCAAGCAGTGAGACGTCGGCCGTGGACATGTGGCCAGCTCCATCCTGCCATCCCCCTCCTTGCTCCGGCACTTCTCCCACCACTGCAGCCTGGCCAGACCCGCCCCTTGGAAGAATAAAGGTATAGAGTGAAAATGGGGACCTGGATTGATGGAGGGATTTGGGGGGGAGGGGGCGACCTTGGGGGTCTCCATGACCCACATGCTCGGGGCAGGGTTGGTTGGGGACCTGCCACATCCCCCAGGGCCAGTTCTGTTCCTTCAGGGCAGGATTTGTCCCTTTGCTGCAGCCTTTGTGGAGTGGGAAGCTGAGATTGCTTCTGGAGGGCCCGGGAAATGGGAGAGGGTGGCACTGGGAGCACTG